TCTAGGATGCTGACAGTTTCCCAGCTGGTTGAGTCTGTCCATGTGTGAGAAGATTAAGGAGTTATCACATACATTTAGACTTTGATTGCTTTTTCCCATGAAGGCTCTTTTTAGCCTTTATCCTGGGCATTAGTTATTCATAGCATGCTTGTCTGTTACAAAGACTCAAAGCATCCTAGAATAGAATAGAATTCTTTAATGGTCAAGTGTGATTGGACACAAGGAATTTTTCTCCGGTGCATAAGCTCTCAGTGTACATACAAACAACAAAATGATAAGTCACAGATCATAAATCATAAAATTCAATCATAAATCATAAGATAAAAGGATTGATAAATCATAATATACCAGGAAGCAATCCAAACCCAATAATTTTTCTTGGGCTCCCTGTCACCCCATGACCCGTGGCTGAGTCATCTACAACCTGCCATGTAAGGACTGCAACAGCCACTACGTAGGACAGACAAGCAGAAGACTGGCAGAGCCATCCATGAACACCAACTAGAGGTCAGGATGAGAAGTCCTTAATCTCACCACACACAGACGGACTCAACCATAGTTTCAGCTGGGAAAGTGTCAGCAGCCTAGACCAAGCTAAATCCAAAAAAATGCTAAGGAATACCTGGAAGCTTGACACTGAGACAAATCAATCACAATAGACACACACAAATACACACACAGAGACAAGCTACATTTATACTCCTTCAAAAGAGGCAATAAAAAAGCCAAAAAGGAAACAAACCCAGAACACTTCCTCTCAAGCAGCCTAGACCCAGGTAAGCAGGGATTCACACCAAGCCACAATCAAGTAGAAAACAATATCCCAATCATTTAACTACCAAGTAGAAAACCATATCCTCACCAACACTGGCAGTTGGCAAACTACATAAACAGGAGCAAACCCTACACACCCTTCCACTGAAGGTGCTACTTGGCTAGGTTCTGAAAGGTCTGCAGGCAAACAACCCAGCTCATAGAGCACCAAAGACCCCAGAGACAAAGATGCCGGGGTTACAAGGACATTGTGGTATCCAATCAGCTACCATCTGGCATTTTGCAAGTGTGTATAGAATTGCTTGTGAAAATACCATGACCTTAGATTGGTTTCCCCACCAGGGCACAATAGCAGCTATGTAGAAGACTGCAGCCCAGTTAAGCTTCTTACTTCAAGGTAGCCTAAGAAGAAATATTACAGATAAACTATCAGTCATAGCAGGTTCTGCTGGTAAAGAATCGGCTTGGCATCTTGCTTTCCTCCCTGCTACAGAATGCCGAAAATACATGTCGTCATTGGCTGTTTTAGTGCAATATTTGGGTGCCTGTTACGTCAAAGGCAGGTAAGAATAAACTCTGAATGTCATAGCAGATTTATATAAACTTGAGCATACTGCACAAGTTTGGTTTAATAATTAGTTTAAAAAAGAACAATATTACAGAACTGAATTAATTTTCAAAAAGAGCAAGCAAAACTTGCTATAGTTGAGCAAGGAACACTGTGATACAGGATGGCTGTTTAACAAAGATTCCTGCAGGCTATTTTATAAAGGACAAACGTCACAGAAGTCTAAAGCACTTTGGGCTTTTGTTTGTTGTTCATTTTGTGCTGGCCTGGTGCCTGCCTGGAGTTTCCCTTACAAGGTTCTTCAGAAGGTTTGCCACTGCCTCCTTCCTGGGGCTGAGAGAAAGTGACTGGCCCAAGGGCACCCAACTGGCTTTGTGCCTTTGTGTTCTTTGTGTGACTCGAACTCACGGCCTCAACCGCTACACCAAACTGGCTCTTGTAGATGGTGGTGAAAACCAATTTTTTTTACTACCGGTTCTGTGGGCGTGGCTTGGTGGGCATGGCAGGGGAAGGATACTACAAATCCCCAATCCCTACCCACTCCTGGGAGAAGGATATTGCAAAATCTCCATTCCCACCCCACTCTGGGGCCAGCCAGAGCTGGTATTTGCCGGTTCTCCGAACTGCTCAAAATTTTCCACTGCTGGTTCTCCAGAACCTGTCAGAACCTGCTGGATTTCACCCCCGCTTGTAGACCTGGAAAATCCTGGAAAGCTTGATGTTCCAAAGGTTTGAGGCCTAGATAAGTGAAAGCTTAAAATATGTACCCAAAGTCTTTAGCAGGACTAATGGATAGGAAGAGACATTCTCCTGCTAAAGATGCCACCAATGGAAGCCTGAGAAAGAGGCCTTTGCTTGTGTTACAGAGCGTGGCCATCAGAACTCCACATAGTGCTGAAGAGATTCTGAAAACTTCACTTTTGGAAATAAAAATGACTGGAGTTTTTGAAAAGCAAATAGAATAGAAAAGCAAACAGTATTGTTGCACATTTCAACAAATATCCACAGTGTCATTAAACATGCTAAAGGTTCTAGCGCTAAATTAAATATTGAACAAGAGAGGGAACATTGGTGTGTTCCATGTTTCCTGTGTTTACATAAGAGACAATCTTATTAGCCTCTTAAAAGGATTAAAACAATATTGTTTTATCCAATAAATTATATTAAAATCTGTTTTGTAACTAATTCCAAATAAAAATGCTTGCACGATATTGAAATAAAAACATATTACAGCATTCAAATAATCTGATATTGACAGATTTGATGGCATTTTATGAAACCAGGCTGTGCTGATAATTTATTGAAGGTAATGCCTTCTGTAATTTTGTACCAGATTAGCTTCAACATTTTATAAGGATATCAGATGATAGTTTAGATAATTCAGAGGATGCTTCTTATTTTCAAAATAGCTAGACTCATGGAATAAAGTGGGTAGGATCCATTTAGGAGTACTAATCTGGAATAATACTTCCATGATTTCAAGAAATCTCAGTCAAATTAATCAACCTCATAATTAATAGGCCTTCAACTGGTCAGTCAACCTCTCATTCAGCCCATATTCTGAGGGAAGGTTGAAAGCCAGATCCATATACCTGTTCTCCATCTTGCTTCAGTCTTTGAATCCGATGGTCCCAGCGGATCATAAAAGCAGCTTCTACTCTGACAGCATAAACAGGGTTGTTTATTTCCCAGGCAAGGGATTGCCCATTTATAATGATAGATTGTCCATTTCCAATTGAGCGATTGAAATTTGAAGTATGTCTAAAATTCTGCCATACTCAGCAAGGAAGGGGCAGTCTGAGCAACCCCTGTGGGAGACAGTGCTGCGTGTGGCAGCTGCTGGATCTGCTCCACTGGCTGTGCCAGGAGATGGGCCAGCTGGAGTGGTTCATTCCAGCAACTTCCAGGCTCTAAGATCTAAGCTCTACTTGCACTGGAGCCGCCTCAGCGAACGTGGTTGCCGTCTGGGGCTAGAAACGTTCATCCTGGATCCCGTTATCAACTGCTCCAATGCAACACTGAAACTGGCAATGTAATCATGAAATGTTACAATCAAGCTGATTTAGACAATCTTGGATCCCCCTTTAGACAGAAGTTTGGCTTATGTGCTACTTTATTTGTAACAAAACGTCTGTTTATCCAGAGATGCCAACGAACAACTCAGGCGCTCCGGGAACGCTGTTCTCCACGGCAGCGGAGGGAGGGAGGGAGGGAGGGTGTCTCGTGTCAGGGCTTTGCTTTGCCTTCTTTCCTCGGCCTAAGCACCGGGAAAGGTCAGGAAGAGGCCCGGCTCTCTCGGGGAGAGGAAGGCCAAGCCTCCGAAAGGAATCTCGCAGGAGCTCCCGGCCTCGGATTCCCCTGGCCATTCGCGGCCAAGAAGTCCCCCCCGCGCGCCTTGCCTGATCCCTCGGCGGGGCCTCTGGAAGCAGACCTTCAAGTTTAGGAATGCCTCTCCTCCCCCCCGAGGCCCCCTCCAGGCCAGCCCCGCCGGCCGCTCTGCCTGGGCTGGTGGGTTCCCACCTTCCGCTCCGCCCCTTCCCCAACAGTCCGCGGGAAGAGAGCGGAGCGGCCTTCGCCAGCCCAGGCTGGGCGGGCCAGAAAGGCTTCTCGGCAGCCCAGGATGCGGAGCCTGGCCGGATGGAGCGCTGCCCTGGTCCTCCTGGCGCTCCTTCAGCCTGGCCGGGCCTTCTGGCTCCTCAACATGCTCTTCCCGCCCAGCACCACCCCAGAAGCCGCCGCCGCCAACAGGACGCCCCCCGTGGTGCTGGGTGAGTTGGCCCGGGGGGCAAGGCCGGGGAGGGAGGGGGCGCTGGGCTGCCTTTCGAGGCTTCCCAAGAACCGAGAAGGGGGGGGGGGGGGGGGGGCTGCGGCTAAGACTCCCTGCAGGAGACGGGAGGGCTGAGCCCAGAGCGGGCTCTCGACGCTCTGCGGCCTTCGGATGGCAGGTCTCCCGTGGAAAGGTGGCAGCGCCTGGTTCCTTTTGCCCGCCTCCGAAGAAGCTCTCCTAGCATTGAAGAAGCCTTGAGGGGAGGCCCGGCCTCTTCCCTTGCCCCGAGAGGGTCCCCCGGGGGAGGCTGGGGGCCTTCTGCTTCAGGCCCCCAGGGGAGCTTCCCAACCACCAGCCGGCTTCCCCCACAGGGCTGCGGGCGGTGGGGCATCTTGCCATTGCTGACCTGCCGGGCATCTGAAGGACAGAAATGACTGGGAAGGGAGAGCAATGGGACCGGGAGCATCGCCACACACAAGAAGCTCCCAAATGGCCGGCAGCTGCCGATGTTGGAAAGAGAGGGAGGAATGTCTGCTTTGCATGCTGAGTTTGGAGGTGGATGGAGGCCTGACTCTCCTTCCATTCACAATCCAGACGGTGGTGTCTCCATGTGGTGGCCCATCAAAATGCAGAATGAAGTCAAATCAGATCTGGAAGCTAACTTTACCAACCGCACAGCCACCACTTTTAAGCAGGTAACTTGCAGTTTGCTTCTCCTTAGTTCTTTGAACTGATTTAGGCCTAAACCAGTTAGGAATTTCTAAGAATCTGCCTTGAGTTCTTCTCCAAGTTGCTGAGGACCTTTAGCAAAATGTTCTTTTCAGGAGGATGAAGAGGAGGAGGAGGAGGAGAAGCAGGAGCTGCAGGTGGGGAGCCAGAGGAGATCCTGAGGGCTTCCAGCAGTGGGAAGAAGGGCCCTCTTTGCTGCTGCTGCAACAGAAAGGGGAAAGCCCCCCCCCCACCGACATCCCCCTTTCTGTGGCAGTGAAAGGGAGCAAGCACTCTGCCCCACAGTGACCCTGCAGCCAGCCTGCCTCCCCTTCGATCTCTGAGATTAAATTTTTACCCAGAGTACTGACTCCCCGAATGGCACTTGCTGGACTTTGCCTTGTTTGCATGACACTGTTTGCCTGGAGGGAACAGCCAGACCAAGTTCCCATCAGGGTTGCAGGGACAGCAGGGCCATGGAAAAAACCAGGAGGGCTTGGGGGGGAGGGGGGGCGTCTCCTAAAGTTCCCCAGAGGGAGGGCCACTTCTGGAGCTCAGAAGCCGTCCGGCCCCTTCCCTCAGCCCAAAGGTGGCAGGGGAGGCAGACATCCCAGCATGGCCCCTGCAGAGGCATTTCTAAATGGCTGTGACAGGAAGGCTCATCATGTTCATTAAGCAGACATACCTCTCAAACTGTACAATCCTGAAATGTGTAATTATCAATGTATAATTGCAAGTCTGTAACGTGAGTACAAGGCAATCAAATGAAGCAACAGGTATCTGCAGGGTATGGTCAAAAAAGTCAAGATGGCAACCACAATGGTGCAGTCAAAACTTTGCCCACATTTTCTATCATGGCCACACTCCACAGACCACACCTGGTGGATTCTCTGAGAAAATACCAAAAATGAGGAGGAGGAAGGAAAACTCCAGGGCCTCAAATCTCTGCAGCTGTTTTGACATGGGAAATGGCCCAGGAACAGACAGATGACTCACGTGGCTGTGAGGCACCAACAGAGTCTAGTATCCTGTGTACCCCTGATTTTAAACAGGGCAACTCCTGGCCCTCAAGGCCACTTGCTACTTTGGGGACATGTCCAGAGGGTGCTTCCCCCAGCTCTCGGCAAATCAGGGCTACCCGGACCAGAGGGGATTTGCCTCAGCCGGCCTCCCTCTTTAGCATCAACAGACACCCTCTTTCCCCTTGTCCAGTGGTGGGATTCTGCCGGTTCTAGGCGGTTCGGCCGAACCGTTTGTTAAATTGCTGACTTACCCCACCCCTTGCCCCGCCCCTCCGCACCACTATTTATTGCAATAAATAGTGGTGGACAAGGGACCGGTGAGCCAGCAATTTAACAAACGGTTTGGTGTCATTTTGTAATTTTATTGGCCTCGCAGCACACCAAACCGTTTGTTAAATTGCTGGTTCACCCGCCTCTCACCCCGCCCCGCCTCCCACCCGCGCGGTGCCAGCCTACCCTAGCCAGGGGTGGGCAATTGTGACTCTTACAACCTGTGGACTTCAACTTCCAGAATTCCTGAGACAGCTTGGCTCAGCCAGCCTGGAACGCTGGCTGCCCAGGTTGCAGCCGAAGCTCCGCATCGTAATGGGCTCCAGGAGGAGGAGGGGCGCCGTCTGCCCCATTGCGAAGCTCAGTAAGAGCAACAAGAGCCGGCTACAGGCGCAGCCGGGCGTGCGCACACAGTGGGGCGCAGGCTTAAGGTGCCGCCTCCAAGCCGAGGGGCGACCCAATGGTGCGGTAGGTTCGCTGCCACCACTGCCCAGACGAGAGAGGAGAAAGAGATGGAGAGAAAGAAATGAAGGAGAGAAATGGGGGGAGAAAGAGAAATGAAGGAGAGAAGGGGGGAAGAGATGAAGGGGAGAAAGGGGAGAAAGAAATGAAGGAGAAGGGGGGAAAGATGAAGGGGAGAAAGTGGGAGAGGAGAAAGATGGAGAGAAAGGGAAATGAAGGAGAGAAATGGGGGGAGAAAGAAATGAAGGAGAGAAGGGGGAAAGAGATGAAGGAGAGAAGGGGGGGAGAAAGAAAGATGAGAGATGAGACACCCAGAGATACCTGTTTAAAAGAAAATACTGGGAGCCACAAAACCTGGGTGGGAGTAAGTGATTTGGAGTTGGCAATGCCCACCCAGGTTTAAGGTTGTGCTTAAGTGTTTACATGTGTTTAAGATTGAGTAGTTAAGGTTGCAGACCCCTGACCTACCCCATCCGATCGCTTCACCCTGCAGCCAGCCCTGTAGGCCTGCGCCCGTCTCCCACCTGGGCAGCAGCGACCTACCTACCCCGGTTGTATCACCTTGCCCTGCAGCTGGCCCAAACTCCCGCCTTGGACTGCCTCCGACCGCTCCAGTAGGTCATTTTTATTTAATTAATTTAATTAATTTAATTTAATTAATCAGGATTAATTATTTAATTAATCCTGAGACTGGACCTTTCGACCGCTGCACCCCACTGCAGGGAGGCGGAACCGACCAGGTGGTTCCGCCCCAGGCGCCTGATGGATCCTGATAGGTTCCAGAGGGAGCTTGGGCCAGTTCCTGAAACTCTGGCTCACGACTCAGCTGAAGATCTGGTGGCTGCCTGGGATAGGACAGCCGCCGGTGCTCTGGACCGAGTCGTGCCTTTGCGGCCTCTGACCCGACGCCGAACCTGCCCAGCCCCTTGGTTTTCCGAGGAGCTGAGGGGGATGAAGCGCCAGAAAAGACGCCTAGAGAGTGGTTGGAGGGCTAGTCGCTCCGAATCCGACCGAACACTAGTTAGGTCTCATATTAAGACCTATCTAGTGGCGATAAAAGCGGCAAAGCGTAACCACTTTTCTGCTCTTATTGCATCGGCAGATAACCGCCCAGCTGCCTTGTTTAGGGTGACCCGCTCCCTCCTATATCAGGAGGCGCGGGAGGACCCCTTGCAAGGGCAGGCTGAGGATTTTGCACAGTATCTGCACGATAAAATCGCTCAGATTCGGGAAGGCTTGGACTCTGACTGGGTAGATCCCGGCGGGGTGACTGAGGCTGGTCTTGAGAATGTTACCTGGGATGAGTTCGACCCGGTGACTCCTGAGGATGTGGACAGGATCCTGGGGAGGTTAAACGCAACCACATGTTTATTGGACCCGTGCCCCTCCTGGCTGGTACTGGCCACCCGGGAGGTAACACGAGGCTGGCTCCAGAGGATCATAAATGCTTCTCTGGGAGAGGGTTTCTTGCCTCCCGCCTTGAAAGAGGCGGTGATGAGGCCCCTCCTCAAGAAGCCTTCTCTGGACCCGGCCGTTTTGGCAAACTACCGTCCGGTCTCCAACCTTCGCTTTGTTGCGAAGGTTGTGGAGAGAGTGGTTGTGTGACAGCTCCCGCAGTACCTGGATGAAACCGTCTATCTAGATCTGTGCCAGTCCGGCTTCAGGCCTGGGTACAGCACGGAGACGGCATTGGTCGCATTGGTGGATGATCTCTGGAGGGCTCGGGACAGGGGTTGCTCCTCTGTTCTGGTCCTATTAGACCTCTCAGCGGCTTTTGATACCATCGACTATGGTATCATGCTGCACCGGCTGGAGGGGTTGGGGGTGGGAGGCACCGTGTTGCGGTGGTTCTCCTCCTATCTCTCTGACCGGTCGCAGTCTGTGTTGGCAGGGGGGCAGAGGTCGACCTCGAGGCGCCTTGCTTGCGGGGTGCCGCAAGGGTCGGTCCTCTCGCTGCTCCTGTTCAACATTTATGTGAAGCCGCTGGGTGAGATCATCCGTGGTTTTGGGGTGCAATGCCATCTGTACGCTGATGACACTCAGCTGTACATCTCCACCCCAGACCACCCCAATGATGCCCTCGAAGTGATGTCCCAGTGTCTGGAGGCCGTGCGGGTCTGGATGGGGAGGAACAGGCTTCGGCTCAACCCTTCCAAGACCGAGTGGCTGTGGATGCCGGCGTCCCGGTATAGCCAGCTGGTGCCATTGCTGGCTATTGGGGGCGAGTCACTGACCCCCACAGAGGGGGCTCGCAACTTGAGCGTCCTCCTGGACACACAGCTGTCTTTAGAAGAGCATATGACGGCCGTGGCCAGGGGGGCTTTTTATCAGGTTCGCCTGATACGCCAGTTGCGCCCCTTTCTGGATCGGGACTCCTTGTGCACAGTCACTCATGCCTTGGTCACGTCACGCCTGGACTACTGCAACGCTCTCTACATGGGGCTCCCCCTGAGGAGCACCCGGAGGCTCCAGCTGGTGCAGAATGCGGCCGCGCGGGTGATTATGGGAGCGACGTGGCGCTCCCACGTAACACCTCTCCTGCGCGAGCTGCATTGGCTTCCGGTGGTCTTCCGGGTGCGCTTTAGGGTGTTGGTTCTCATCTTTAAAGCGCTCCATGGCTTAGGGCCAGGGTATTTGTGAGACCGCCTGCTGCTACCGATAACCTCCCACCGGCCAATACGCTCTCACAGAGAGGGCCTCCTCGGGGTGCCGTCGGTCAGGCAATGTCGGCTGGTGGCCCCCAGGGGGCGAGCCTTCTCTGTGGGGGCACCCGCCCTGTGGAATGAGCTGCCTCCTGGAATACGATTGATCCTGGACCTCCGGACCTTCCGTAAAGCCCTGAAGACGTTTTTATTTCATCAAGCCGGCCTAGCCTAAATGGTTTTTAATTGGGATTTTAAATTTTATGGATTTGGGGTTTTAAATTGGGTAGCCAATGATTTAATTCTTTTAATTATCTTAACTTTTGCATTTGTATGTTTTTTAATTTTGGCTGTTCACCGCCCTTTTGGGAGAAGGGCGGTATACAAATTAAATAAATAAATAAAGAATGCTGCAATGGGCATAAATGATGACCAGTCAAAAGTGCGAGGACCTTTCAGAAATCACTTTTTTCAGCCCTCTGAATAGTCCCTATGTGTATAAGGACTAGTCAGAGGGCTGAAAAAGTTATTTTTGACCGGGCCTCGCACTTTTGACCAGTCCTTGAACTTACGACTGTCCTCACATTTTAC